AGAGGTGTGTGTGTGTGTGTGAGAGAGAGAGAGAGAGAAGTGTGTCTGTGTGTGTGTGTGAGAGAGAGGTGTGTGTGTGTCTGTGTGTGTGAGAGAGAGAGAGGTGTGTGTGTGTGTGTGTGTGTGAGAGAGAGAGAGAGAGAGAGAGAGAGAGAGAGAGAGAGAACATGTTTCTGTATTTTAGGTCACAGTGTACATGGGAATCAGAGCATGGCTACCTGGACTTGGTTCTCTCTGGGTCTCAGGTCAGAACCATTTCCTAGGCCCAGAGAACAAAATGTTAAACTCATGTCAGGCACAAAACACGTGTCCAGAAAGTGTTCATTGCTGGCCACACAGTTCTGGATTCCCAGCAAGAGAAAGACTTAAACAAGAGCCATCCTGAAAGTTAGAGTCCATTCTGGGCTACAGAGTAAGACCCTGCATAAGAAAAGCTAAAGATAAGAAAAGAAAAAGAAAAGGCCAGGTCTAAACCACCAACAAAAAGTGTCTCTTGGGTACTGGCTGTACATAACTGAGGACGGCCTTGAATATGAGACCTAGGGTCCTTCTCAAATGCTGGGGCTACAGACACACCTGGTTTAATAAACACAGTCAATTTTCCCGTTGCTGAGATAGTTTTCTCTATAGCACGAGACTATATTGATTTTTTTCAGTGCTGAGATTACAAGCAGAAGTAACCATGATCAACACTGAAGCTTCTATCTTTCTCCCTTCTTCTTCCTTTTCCACACAGAGTAAATGCCCTTACTTTCCTGGAACTCACTCTGTAGCCCAGGCTGGCCTGGAGCCCCCTGAGATCTGCCTGCCTCTGCCTCCCAGTCGCTGGGACTAAAAGCATGTGCTGCCCCTGGATTGCACTGAAGCTTATCTGTAAGGAAAATTTTCTTTGGGGAGGGCACAGAAATTTTCAGAAAACGCCAAAAACAGCAATTAAGGGAACTGTGTCGATGTGTTTACCGTGAGTCAGCACTAGCCAAAACATATGCGATGTCCAAATGTGTCCCCATTTCCAACAAAGATAGAGTGTTACCTGTGTGGTTCCAGCCACATCTCAGGCTTCCCAGGCAGTCCCGACCTGACCTCCTTAGATCAACAGGCACTGGTCAAACATTTCTACTCGGTCCCCTAAATACTACCTGAGAAGAGCCCATCACAGAACCCTAGGACAGCAAGGCAGGGCTCCTGCAGACCTGAATGGGTGATTTGATTTCCGTTCCAGAGGACAAATAGGAGGCAGACAAAATGGCTCAGCAGATAAACCTGCTTGCCAGACAGCATGAGGAGCCGATTTGAGCCCCGGACCCACATCCTTGAAGGAAGGAATCAAGTCCTTCAACCTGTCTGTCCTTTGACCTCCAAATTTGAGACACAGCTCCCCCACCCCGACACCAAGACAAAGAATAAACCTTCAAAATGTAATGTAAGCTTTTCAATGAATGAAAACATGGACAGGGGTCAGCGGGCCAGAGGCCCCTTTGTAGCAGCTTTTTTCCCTCTCAAAGGACTTGAGGCCATGCGACCTGCTTACCCTCGTTCAGCATTTAGATAAGGATTTCTCTGGAAAATGTGCTCCAACTCCTGCAGCTGCAGCCATGTGAACCTGTCATGGAGGCGGCGGTGGGGCACCAGCACGGGCACAGGGTGGATGTCAACATCTGGAACCGGTTCAGGCCGTACATCGGACGTCACAACTGGCATGGGTTGGACACTGGGCACTCTACCTGGTATAGACTGGACACTGGGCACTGTAATGGGTACGGGCTGCGCACAGGCCACCCCCACAGGCATAGGCTGCGCCTCAGGCATTGGCATATGTGGTATGTTAGGTTTCTGAAATGGTATATGCTGGACGTTGGGCACAGTAACTGGCATAGGAAGGACATGGGGCTCAGGAACAGGCATAGGGTGTGCATGTGGCATAGTGATTGGTACAGGCTGTGCATAGGGCAGCGTCACAGGCATAGGCAGTACCTGGGGCACAGGGATTGGCATAGGCTGTATATGAGGCACAGGAACAGGCATAGGGTGAACCTGGGGCACACTGATAGGATCAGGCGGCACATGTTGCTCAGTAATGGACATAAGCCATGTGTGCGACTCAATGATTGGCACAGGCTGTATTTCGGGCATGGGAACAGGCATAGGCTGTACCTGGGGCCCAGTGATTGGCATATGCTCTACATGGGGTAGAGAAATGGGCACAGTGACAGGCATAGGTTGTGCCTGGGGCACAGTGAAGAACACAGGTTCTACATGGCATACAGAAATGGTCACACACTGTACACCAGGTACATTTACTGGCGTAGACTCTGCTAGGGGCAGCATGTGCAACATATGGTTCACACGGGGCACTAACAATGGCACAGGCTGTACAGCCTCGGGGCCCCGTATGCTCTCGGGGACTGGCTCCTGAGGTGAATGCTCCCTCTCCTGGCTAATGTGGCTGGTACCCTCTTGGTTCCTGTCATCTGTGAGTCCTGAAGCTACAGCAACAGAGGGACCTTCTCCACTCCGCCCCATCCTTCTTAGTTCTTCTACTCCTCCCAGTTCTGCGGTTGGGGCTCGCGACCCAGGCTGGCCGCTTCCACTCTCTTCCTCATTTCTTTCCTCTCCAGTCAGCAAGACCATGGGTGCCTCAGCACCTGAAAGTGGGGAAAGGGCAAGATGAGGCGGCAGGGCCCAGGGTGGTCCGGCGTCAAGACATTTGATGCCCACGTGGGCGTGTGCTGCCATAGCGGGCAGCGCATGCCCAGACGCCTCTGAGAGTCAACGTTCCCTCACGGCCATGGCCGCCCCACCTCTAGAATGTACTGACCCTTCCATTTTTTCTCATCAGGTCCCTCGTGAGGCAGGTAGTTGATGTCCCCATGCTTCATGGCAGGAATGCTGTTGAAGTCGCCAAAACTTTGCCTTCCTTTTCGCCTCTTCAGGTTCGGGACGGTTGCCCCGTACAGTTCCGGTGGGACAGCATCTCACCCAGGAAGCATTCTTTTCCTTATGGTTCTAAGGCTGGACCACTCGGGTTGTCATATCCAATCAGAGGCTTTTTTTCTAGATAGCTGGGATGATTGACGGTTGGTATGGTTTGAGACCCTGAAGTGTATAATCAAGAGCAGTTTCACTCTTCAGTGAACAGGATGAGTTTACAGGGAAGGCATGTCCCTTGGAAAAGTAGAATGTAGAAGGGGCCTTCCAGTTTGCTACTCCATGAGTTCTTTTGCCCTGGTGCACTATATTCCTAGGGCAGGAATGACGGTCCACTTTGAGAAGGCATTTGCAGCAGGAAAAAAAGATCCGCCAGGAGCTCTGGAGGTCTTGTGGAAATATGAAGACAACCTCTCTTAGTCTAGTGCCCAACACTGGGTCCCTGGTACCTGGCCGAGAACAGATATTAAGTAATGTGTTTTATCTGGGAGGCTCTTCAGGCCCTGGGACTGCTAGACAAAAGCTCATCTTCCCTGTTAGCCTTCAAGTGTGCTGTTACAAGCTGTGAGAATTTTATACCTGTGCTGAGGTTCATAAAACGTTCTTTCTCTGGGTCTCTCTCTTCTCTCCTCCTCTTCCTCCTCCTCCTCCTCCTCCGGCTCCTCTTCTTCTGCTTCTCTCTCTCTCTCTCTCTCTCTCTCTCTCTCTCTCTCTCTCTCTCTCTCTCTCTCTCCTCTCAGAATAGCCCAGGTGTCAAGAGCAGGGCCTGGTCCCTATCCCAGAATTTTCAACAGAGCAGGAACTTCACTGGTATGTGGCCAGTCTGACCCCATGGCAGCACTTTTCCCCAGCATGTCCTTGTCACTCTGAGACTAGAAATGCATTAAAGAACTATCATATGGCAAGACGATTCCTTTTCATGGTGTGAGAATATCTGGGGGCCCTGGTGTCTAAGATTTCCTTCTATCAAAAGTCTTACCTCACACTTCTGGTTACTGCCTCACTTGTAAATCTGCACAAGTCTATTTCCAGCCCTTTGTCTTTCCAGTATAACTTGAAATTACCCTTGACAAGGTCTACCATGAGCTGAGGATTTCTTTCTAATTCTGGCCAATTGTGTAAAGACAACCATGTTGGGGATGAGGATGTATCTCCAATAGCAGAGAGTTCCTCTTGCCCACTCTAAGCCCTGGGTTAGATCCCCAGAACTGCAAAAATCTGAGTGGATATCCCTTTCTGTGACGCCTATTATCTAACCACAAATGTGTTAGATGCAAGACCAGAACTTCCTTCATCCTTCTTGAGATGAGTTTAAGGCCAACCTTTTTCAAAACACACACCCTTAGGTACACACAACAGAACCAGATTCATTTCAATAACCAGTTCTGATGTCTCAATTTTCTCGAAAATCATCGAGGAATGGACCTAATTCAAATGATAAATTTCAGAGATATTTGTTTAAAAATTACACGCAAATATATTTTGTTGGCGCATGGTTACGAGAAAAAAAAAAGGGAGCCTCCCTCCAGTACGGAATGGCTGGATTCTCTGGTTTCTTTTGAAGCAACAGAAACTTTGTCCACAGGATGTACTAGTACCACGTGTGCCCCACAGATGGTGGGGTAGGGTGACCAGAACCCCAACAGTGAAGAAGAGCGCTCACTTCCCTGCTCCCGTGAATCCAGTGATTTTCCTTTGGAAGATTCAGGTTGGAACTGAACTCGAGTGTGAGTAGCAGGCAGTGCTGTCTGAAAAAGCACTGGCCACCTACTGTGGACAATGAGGACCCTTGAACATGGTTCTGCTCCTAAGTTGTCACAATGGGGGCGAAGGGAGCATCAGTGAGATGCAGGGACACATGCCCATTCTGTGCAAATGCAGTGAAGCCAGGGAAATGACGGTGACTGCAGAGGACACTGCAGGGGACACAGGCATGCCACCTCACGAAAGACGGCTGTGCCATCTGTTTGAATAGTACATAGAGAGAACACTCTGCATCTACAGTGTACAAAGCAGAAAGAAGAGACACAAACAATTTGTCTTTATTTTTATTGTCATACCAGTGTCTTAGATATAGGGAGACATGGCTTTCTTCCATGTCTAAGCAAGGGGAGACATCAAACAGCCCATCTCCATGTGCCTCCTGGGCAAGGATGGCACTCTAGGGCTCCTCCACATCCATCATGCAGATGTGGTCCTGGATCCCACGTGGTGCACTCCTGAGCATTGCTTTCTTCTCCCGGGCCCTCTGTTTGGCTCGCCTGTTGTTAAACCAAGCCTGAAAGCAGAGGACAGGAAGCATGTCAGTGTGCTGAGTACTTGGATGGAAAGAGACACTTCACTGGGACACATTATATGTCACTGCCATTCTAAACCACACAGCAGAAGGAGCTGTTTTCAAAACCTCAGCCATGCAGGGCAGAAGCAGGGAGGGTGTGTTTGGTGTTGGAGGACAAGGCTAGCGTCTCTGGAACTGAACCTTCTTCACAGCAAACTGACAAGAGCAGCAGGAACCATGAGTTTATGAAAGTAACAGCATGCCTGCTCCTTCGGATCACACAGGGAGAGGAACAGCTCTGTGTCCCGTTCTGGAACAGACTCGGCACAAGACCGGTTCACACTTTACGTGACCCCAAGGTGGACTTTTATTGGTATCTTATTCCAATGCAGGCTCATCTCTAATTTTTTCCATAGCTCTGCTTTTGAATGCTTCGTTCCTTCGACAAGTTTTCAAGGGGGTTATCCCTCGCCCCCTTCCCCTGCTGTTGGGACAGTTTTGGCCACGTGTTCAGGTGAAGGCATCAAGTGTATTGAAAACAATCTCCCAAATTAAAACTGCGTGCTCCTATCTCATGCACACTGACAGAGGAAGAGGAGCAAGCGCTCGGACTATTGCGCTCTATTTCCACACCAATCTCAGTTGTAGTAATAATAGCGGCGGGGCTGCGTCCCCGGCACCCGGCCGCCCCCACAGCTAGCTTTACCCAAAATAATTACACGGACACTGAATTCTTTTAAACACTGCTTGACCCTTTAGCTCTAGCACTTACAGGCTAATTCTCACATCCTGATCAACCCATCTCTAATAATCTGTGAGAACCAGTCTTACCGGGAAGATTCTAGCCTAGTCCATCCTGGGTCGGAGCTTCATGGCGTGTGTCTGCCCGGGAGCGGGGCATGGTGTCTCTCTCAGACGTCTGCTCCCGAGAGAAGAGCTGTGGAGTCTGACCTCACTTCCCCTTCTGTTGGGGACCAAGAAGCCCCACGACCTAAAGTATTGGACAATCTTCCTCATCCTCTCTGCAAAAACAGCTTGCTGCCAAACAGCTTGCTGCACAGACAGCTGTGATACAGTTCTCAGAGTGACCTGACCGCAAGGTTCCAAGACACAAGGTGCCAAGACACGGCCTAAGAAAGTAGATGTTTCAAGAGATATATTGCTTCCTCCCTGGCCTAGGGCGCGATAGTTTCCGCTCCCCCCTAACCCTACCCCTCCCAACCAAAACCACTCTATAAGAATAAACCCCTGCCTGCAATAAACGGAACCTAGATGCATCTCAGAATGACTCTGTCATTCTTTATACGCGCTTGGTTCTCTTTCTCTTTCCCCCCATTCCTACCCAGGTGATCTCGAACTCGAGGCCCACGAAATTACGTAGCCTGCTGGACAGGTCACTCTTCCTCCCAGCATTTTGTTCTGTTTACTCCACCCACAGGGCCAAGCAGTTTCTTTATTGCTTAACCAATGAAATCAACAGATTGATATATGACACTCCCACATCAGAAACTGAGAAAGACAACCAAGGTATATGAAAACGTTTGAAAAATATGACCACATTCTGTTACCCAGTGAGGTAACGGAAAAAATCAAGAGGCAAATGACCAGTGCTGGTGAGGAAAGAGAGAAAAGAGAAGCTTCTAGAGTGTGGGTGGGAATATCACTTCATGCCCTAGGTAATGAAAGAACTGATTAGAAAAAGACCCAGTCCAGTAAATGCATTTCAGAGTATATAGTAGTCCAGTAAATTCATGTCAGGGTTTACCTAGCAGTCCAGCAAATCCATGTCAGAGTTTACATAGCAAAGACAGAGCCAGGATGGGAAAGATGTTTGCGTCACCCCAGGGAAAAACCTCACCACCCCAATAGCCAGGGGGGCTACAGCAACCCTGAACTCCTAAGAGGGGGGTTCTAAAGCAATGGTGGGGTGTGTTGATTCAATGGGGTGATAATCAGCCCCGAAGCGATCTGACCACCAGCAGAAACGACATCTGAAAAGCCAGAGAACTGTGACAAAAGAGGCAGAAAAAGGACATCAAGCTCAGTCGCAGGAGCCTTTAGAGTCCTCCTTTTCAACAAGATGTCCCGGTCTGCAGGGGAAGAAAAGGGAGATTTTGATACAGTTTGTCACGAGGAACGGACTTCTAGAGCCCTGTGAGAGAAGGCATAAAAATACTTGGCTCTGCAGACTCTAAAGCATCAGAACAGTTTCATTCCAACACGGTTTTCATTTATCTACGTCACTCCCCGGTTGAAAATGGAGAGAGTGTCAGGAGCAGTAAGCACACCTGTTTCCGGTCACCACCACAAACAACTTCCCCACTCCGATCACGGGGGAGAAGCTACCCGTGGTTTGGAGAGTAATGGGGACAACAGGGAAAAGAAGGGGTAAAGGCCAGGTCAACATAAACATTAGCCCATGGAGGTCCGGGAGCCTCCTGGAGCCAGCACCTACCTTGTGAGTACATCTGGGTACTGGGTTTCTTGGAAAACAGTCTCCATTTCCCGCACCTGCCAGTGTGTGAAGTGGAACTGATTGCGGGGCCTGCTGGGCCTGCTCCTTCGAACCTCAGGCATCTCAAGGGCTGCCTCCTCTGGGTCCACCTCCATGGGCTCCTGGCTGTTGATGTCATCTTCGGGATCCAGGTTATCATGAGGGCTCACATGCCCCCCCTGGGCCTGGTTGTCCTCTGGATTCTCACTGTGGTCCAGGCTCAGAGCTCCTTCACAGAAGCTGCCCCCCACTTCAGCTGCTGCCCCCTGTTCAGGGTGGGGGCTGCTGTCCTCTCCATAGTCCTCCATGTGAGAGTAGAAGTGGTCACTGTAATCGTGGAGGTGCGCCATGGCTGCTGCTCTATGGAAGCCTAGACACTTGCCCCTGGCTGGAGCCTTTGGCAACAGCCTTGCCCTGGGGGCTTTCAGTAGGTTGGGGCTACAAAGGCTCAGGTGCTCCTCCTGCCACACCACTATTGGCTTTCTAGCTGAATCCTACCCCAGTGGGTGTGCCTGTGTGGTGAGAATGGGCTGGGGCGTGGCCCCAAGGAAGGGGTGGGGGGGGAGAAAGGGTGTATGCAGAAGCTGAATTTTACCCCTAGGTGATCTGCTTTGATCTGGCCACCATCCCTGGCCAGTGCTCAAAGACCCCACAGAAGACCAGGGCAAAGGGGCTACTGGAGATTGCAGGCTGATTTTAGCATGGCGAGTGGGGAAGAGGGAAAAACTCACAATGAGCCCCTGAGAGTGGGGGCTCTGGCATTAATGAGTCCAAATACCCCAGTGAAGTCACTAGAAACACAGCCTGGTGCCTTCAGGAGGGAGGGCTATGTGAATCTTGGATAGCTGAGTGAAGGGTTGTTTACAGAATTTCCTCAGTTCACAGCACCAAGTCTTTTCTTCTAAAATATCAATGAGAGCTCTTTCCCTTAGACAGAGATCCCGGCCATTTGCGTGTAGTCGGTGGGTGGAGACTGGGAACCCTTGGGAACACGTGCTTACCCAGAGCCCCACAATCACCGCCCATATTTGGTAAAGGTGCTCTCTCACAGAGCCACTTGACCTGGTCCCTTGCACAGCACCGCGAGCTACAGAAGAATGGCGCCACATCTAGTTGATAGGCAGGCCAGTCAGAACCTGAGGCAGGCATGTGGTCACCTAGACATGTCTCAACAGGCTCTGGCCCTGCTGCTGGATACACGTGTGTGGCAGTTTCCTCCAAGATAAGAATTCCATGTGGGAGGAAGCCTCCTGGAGACTTTAGACATTCCAGATGGAGGTGAAAGAGTTCAGAATCCAGGAGAGATGCTTAAGACACAAGGAGTAAAAGGTTAGGCAGCTTCAGCCGGGCTCAGTAGGGGTTTGTTCACGTTTCCTGTGTCTCCCCGGGAAGCGTGTCTACAGCACATCTCAGTGGCACGCTGAGGACTATAGGACGAGAATCCAAAGTCGGCTGAGGCAGAAGCCGCCATCTGTAGGTTCAGTTCAGGGAGCATGAGTCCCTGCTGAAATGCCACTGGGTGTGGCAGCCAGGCACTTGGAGCAGCTCAGCACAAGATACCTGGTACCTGGGACATTGGTGGCGAGCGCCCGAATGAAACTCAAGAAAATAATCTTTTGCTGGAACATCCATTGTGGGGCCCAGGTCCTCAGTGGATCCCCCTCGTCTCTCTGTCTCTGTCTCTTTCTGTCTTCCTCTGTCTGTCTCTATGTGTCTCTCAGTCTGTCTGTCTGTCTCTCTGTCTTTGTGTCTCTGTCTCTGGCTCTCTCTCTGTGCTTTTCCAGGTGTGGTCCCCACCATGAGTTCTTGCTGATTATCCCAAGATAAAAATGATTGTAAAATACCATCCAGAGGTCAACTGGGAGAAGAGGCCCTGCTGGTAGTGGCAGCTGCCACAGTGGAGTGACAGGGTAGGGGAGGGGTCAGGAAGGAGGAGAACTCCCTGGTGTAGGAACTCTTCTTCCTATGGAGAAACAGTTGAAGTTGGAAGGAGCTGGGAGCTCAGGCTCCCCAGAGACAGTATGAAGGCCCCTGGAAACCCCTGCTTCCAGTCCTCCCTTCAAAGGCTGACAATGCTTTCAGTTCATTCCAATTCCCCAGGCACTATAGGATAAGCATTGAGCAAAATGAGCCCTGCACAGCCTGGGGGCAGGGGCTGTGCTCTGGCTTCATTCCTCCTTCTAGAGGCCCTGCCCCCTCTTCCTGACCAAAGACAAACAGGGAATCCAAGGCTGCTGTGCCTGCCCGCTTTGGACAGCACCGTGGCCATCATGTCCCCTGGACATCTCAGACCGGAGTCCATTTGCAGTAGGTGATGGTCAGTAGTTGCTCACCCAGTTGGTCAAGGTGCGGCAGCCCGAAAGACATTGGGGAGCAGGCAGATCTAAATGTGATATCTCTATTCTACCCTTTGTCACAGGCACAGGGAAGTCAGGAAGACTGCTAGAATAGTCTTAGAGCCAGGACCAGTGTCTACCTGTGCCAAAATAGTATTTCCTAGATGTGAAATGGGGAGACCTCAGGTTTAGGGCAGTGGACCCATCCCTAGTGTACCTGATACCTGCCACTACAGGAAGGGCTCTCAGATCTTCTCAGTGGGAGGCATCTTAGAGACCCAAAAGCAACATAGCACAAATCTGCAGCAGAAGAGGTCCCTGGAGCACTCGAAGGAACAGAGAGAAAACAAACCAGGGTGTGCAATTGCAGGAGACCAGGCATTGGGACCCCGCCATGCAGCAAGTTTGGATTAGTAGCCTAGGCCATACCTCTGCATGTCCCTAAGATGAACTTGGTTTATTTGGACCTGAGGGTTCACATAGGGAAAGAAGCTGTGCTCCTTCCTCATGTGCTAGGGGTTCAACCTTCTTTACTAATATCATAGGGCTGTGAGGAAGGAAAGACCCCCAAATCTTGAGTACTGAGGGTTCTCCGAGGCAGGTGACAAAATGCAGCAGAAGACACTAAGGTCAAGTCTCTGAGCAGGCCACGCTGGGAGCATATTCTCCCTGAGCCGGAATGCAAGGAGACAGAATCCCCCCTCTGCCTGGGCGGATAGCTTCACCTCTCTGTCAAGAAGCAGGACTCTGGGCAGTGTGCCTCCTATTGCCCTGAAGGCCCACAGAGGGGGAGCGAAAGCTCACAGGGTGTTCCCATTCCCTCTGCCACCAACCTGGGAGACAGCTCTGAGAAGTTTCCAACAGAGCCCAAGCTGGGACTTACTGAAGTGTGGGTGGTAACAACCGTGTCTAGAAACACACTGTCCTGCTTTGGGGACTTGCCCTTTCTGCCCTTATAAAGAACTTGTCCCACAGAGATAGAGCAAGTTGACAAGTCCATGAAGGGGAGGGGCAGAGAACCACGTGGGGTCAGCAGGAAGCAGCCTGGCACCTAGAAGTCCTCCTCCCTTTGCAAGGCAGAGTGATTGCTGCTTGCCCATGTCACCCCGATTTAAATTTCATTTCCGGAATTTAAACTACCATCTTTCAAATACTTATACCCACAGTTTGGTAACCTGGGAAAATAATGGAGCCAACGTACTGAGAATACACCTCTTTATTGCTGAAATCAATGCAGGGAAGGAAAGGGTGTCATGGCCATCAGGGGTGGCCGACACATTAGGGGCAGGGTAGGCTGCAGGACATCTTCCTCCAGGACAGGGAAGGCACTCAGTGCTGCTCCAGCATCTTCAGGCATCGTTGTTCTCGGGAGCAGGGGGTGTGCTGCACAGCACCAGCAGTCTAGTATTCCTCCGGTGAAGGGCTCTCCTGTTCCTAAACCAATCCTGTAACCAGAAGAGAGCCTTGTTTCAGTACACTGACTGTATCACGGCTGAAGAGCACATGCTGTAACTTCGTATACTGGCTCAACTTGGCTAACACTTGAGGATATATTTGGAACCCATCCCAGGCCTGGTGTATGCTAGGGGTGTCTCTAGAGCTCAGCTATTCCCTTAGCAAAGCACCAAATCTTTGACTGCTTAGAAACTCCATGTTTATTATGTAGCCCCAAGAAGGGTTGAAGAGGTACCTCAAGTGTATACTGACTGTTCAGAATGCTGGAAGCAACAGGTTCATTCTCACTGAAACACTAAGAACACCCCCTGAGTAGCCCCTGGGGACGTATAAGCCTCACCCAGTCCTTCAACTGAGGAACAGACCCGGAATATTTCCTCTTCTCCCCATCAAATGGTACTTTTTGGTTGCAGGCCTGCCCTTTAAAGACCTACCTCTCTCTCCAGCCCACATCAATTGGTATTTTTAATGCATTCTTTCAGGAAGGATGCATAATCTAGCTCATGGTTTCCTGCGGGTCCCTGTGGTATCAACAATTATTAAGAAGATTTCTCTTGGGCTCCTGAGGATCCATAAAGGCCCGAGGCAGTAGTCTGTCAAAGTTTCCACCATGCTAGCATTGGTTAGTATCCAGAATGCAGATTTAATGAGACAAAGGGCACTTCTTCCGGCTCTGCTTCCTTCTTAGCCTCCCAGCACAGTGACTACAGGCCTTTTCCCTTGTGGGCATGTGGTCTGGAAAAGCCAGGGGTGCCTGGAATGCTGATCAGAGTGCACACACATCACCAGCAAAGGGAGGCAAAGGTGCTAAGAGCAGTTTGAGGTCCCTGGGCCCTGTACTGGTTCAGAACTAAGCTAGGCATCTGCCATTACAGACTAGAGAGGGGTGAAGTCGGAGAAAAGTTTTTCTGAGACACGCAGCATGACAGCTGAAGGTGGACAAGAACGTGCTTTCTTCACCTAGGTGAGGCATGCGGGCTGCAGTCTCCAGAGCACCTTGGAGAACACGGTCTGTCCACCACATGGCAGACAAAGCACCTTGCTGTCTCCAGCTCGGCATGTCCTACTGAGAAAATGGAGGTCTGGGGACTTCTTGAACCTAGCCTGCCAGTGTACTGCTCTGGCACCCTTGGGATGCCATTTCAGGGTCCCACTCTGCCCCTACGCCTGTCTTCTAGGCAGAAGCATCACAAGATATGAAGTCCTGCCAAAATTATTCTTTAGAATACTGACCTGCACATCGGCTTCTGACACACCCAGCCATCTTGCAAGATCCTTCCTGAAGTGAAAAGATTCCAACATTTAGGCTTTGTGTTAGAAATGAAGGATCGAGGAACATGTACCATGTGCTTTTGAATCATTTAGGTCCACACTTGTGTGCGTGCACATGTGTACACACACCCACATCCACACTATTCCTCATAATTTCTTTGAGACTAGCTTTAGCAACAACTTTCCTTCAGGGACCAAAATTAAGGGTAATCCCCCAAACACAGGTACCGAGTCAATGTGCTTAGAATAGAAAACTTC